AAAATATTACTCCTAACATACAAAGCTCTTAACAACCAAGCTCCATCATATATTAAACRTCTTATTGTTCCATACTTACCTAACAGAGCACTTTGCTCCCAGACTGCAGGTTTACTTGTGGTTCCCTGAGTTTCTAACAGTAGAATGGGAGGCAGAGCTTTCAGTTATCAAGCTCCTCTCTTGTTGAACCAACTTCCAGTTTCTGTCCGTGAAGCTGACACTCTGTCTGCTTTTTAATATTAGACTGAAGACTTTCCTTTTTTATAAATCCTACAATTAGACTTAAGTTTCCTGATTTGTTCTTCATTTCTGCTGCTATAGACTTAGACTGCTGGAGCACAAACTGAGCACATTTCCTCACTCTGCTGTTGTCTTTAGTCTCTACATGTTTATTGTAATTATTTCTATCAGTAACATGTTTTTTCTTTGTCTCTTTTCCAGAAGAAGGTGCCCCTGGACCAGTTCTTCTGTCTCTCTCTGTGTGTCTGTCTCCTGTTCCCCAACCAGCCGGTCGAGGCAGATGGCCGTCTGTCCTGAGCCTGGTTCTGCTGGAGGTTTCTTCCTGATTAGCAGGGAGTTTTTCCTCTCCACTGTTTGCTCGGATGGGAGACTGTGATGAAGTGATTTAACAAAATCTGCTGGCATCTTCTTTAGATTGTTTTTTTTTTTTTTTTATCTACAGTGCCCTGAGACAACATGTGTTGTGACTTGGCACTATATAAATAAACTGAATTGAATTGAATTACTGCAGAAAGACTTAGTTGAAGGAGTTGGTCTCTTTTAATGTTTAGGGGGGGTTCTTAAACAGTTTGTACATGATACACTTGTTTGTAAATGTTTTAACAGATTTTGATCTCATCTTTTATGGGTGTTTTAGGAGTGTTGAAATAAGTGAACATGTTCTGCAGGTCACGCACACAAAAATTAAGCAGTGATTCAGATGCAAAGCTAGTGGTTAGTGCCTAAAATAGCAATCTGAAGATGCAAAGTAGAGGTAAGGTTATGCTGTTGTGCAATAATTTCAACATAAATATAATGTATTAATTACTATAATAGCTCACAATATCAAACAAATTGCCAGAGAAAATGCTGGAATACAGAGATCTATTAACGGCATTAAAACCAGTGGGGTTGGGTGATAATTATACATAAAAGAGATAAGATTTTTTTAAATTCTTTCTGCTGCCTTTCATTTTATTTGATCTTTGATTTGTATATTTTTATTTTCTATTGTGTATAGTTCTTTTGTTTTTAATGACATGAATAAATTTCTAAATAAAATAAAAAATAAAAATAAACATAACTTACATAAAATCTTGAGGCAGGCCAACCTATAATTCATTAAATACTAAAAGTATAAAACATACTTCTTGGTCACACATCATATTTGGATAAACATTAATGTGTTTTTGATTTAATAGTGCTCAGTGCAGTTTTATTGTGGTCTGTAACCGTCTGCCGGTGTATGTTATGTTAATAAATAAACCGTATACATATATAGATTAGGGATGTAACAATACATCAATCTATATCAATATATCGATTTTAATGGTTCGTGATTCAGTTATATCGAGGCAAAATGAAAATTTCAATCTATATCATCATCAAATGCGCGATGTGAATCGATATCATGTCCATCTAACAGTCATTGTGTTAGATGGGCATTTGATATCGCATTATATCGATTATATTGATGTGAMTTGAATTGAATCAAAATCATATCGTGACAGACTTTATTATATCGAGAAATATCAAATTGTCATTCAAACATATCGATGTCATATTGTATCGTGATAAAGCTGGCTATTTACACCCCTAATATAGATGTGTTTAAGTTTTAAGATAATCCATACATAAACGTTTTGTATTATTGTAGGCAGGAAGTATAATACATTGGCCAAGATCACTGTAAACCACATTCAATTCAATTTCAAAATTACTTTATTGATCACATCCACATATTTAGCACTAGATCAATTTTTTATTACTAGACGCAGCATTGACAATCTTAGTTTTTCATTGTTCTATATATTCCAAGTTATTTTCAAGTATCTGCGATCACATACACACAAGTAAAACACAGCACAGCGACCTCCACAACCTATTTTCACAGTTGCTCAGGTCACACACCGGCACCAGATGCCACAATCTGGACTGTGATGCTTAGGGCTAGGCAAAGATGGAATGATCCGCAAATAGATCCATGGCAAATTAAAAGAACGAAGACAAACAACCAAACTTTCGTTCTGTTCTTCAACTAGTGCCCAACACTCTCAGTCCCATGAGATACTAACTAACAGGAAAAAAAATGATCAGGAGCCAAGTTCAGAAAAGCTGGTAAATTTCAGTGATGCTGTACTTGAAACTTAACTCTAAAGAGTAGTTATATTCTCTGCACCACCCAGCTAACTGAATGTTCAGACAACGTCCTCTAAAAGTCTGAGTTGTAGAAAATAAAGAGCAGACAGGAGTCGAGTTTTCTGTGTTTTCCTGTTCTAAGGGCCCTGTCACACYATGACGTTTTAGACAACTTACGCCAACTTATGAAAGTTTTAAGGACATCTATGTTGAAGATGTGATTGAAAAAAATAAACAGGAAGCTTCTTTTAGGTGTGTACATACTGTAATTCTAACAAATTGATCAAATATACAACTTTTATTAGCCATTTAGACATAAAAAATGTTTCATAAGTTGGCATAAGTTGTCTAGTATGACAGGGCCTTTACCTGTGTGGCCCAGCTGCTTTGTTGAATTACTGCTGCCTCAAACCAGTCCAGCCTGTCTATCCTGATCTTTACCCATTCTTGACTCAAGAGTCAAACAGTTATATATGTATTGTCCTTGCTGGAAAAAAAAACATAACTATTATACCACTGTTCCAACCAAAAGCAACGTTGTGATTACAATAAAGACAGAATCATAGCAATCATGCTACGATTCTAAATTATTTTTGGAGATCACCTCGACCTCCTCCTGTTGTTTCATGACCCACAGGAAGGTCCCAGACCCCCAGCGTCAGCATCCTGATCCAAAGTTTTAGAAACCGATCCTCTGTCTCTGACAACAACGCGCCGTTTAAACGCATTCTTGCACCAATACATCACGTGACCCTGGCTGAACAGGTGTGTCTAATCAGGTGGCTTGTGCGCGAGGACAGGTCACACAAGGTTATTTGAGAGCTCAGGGATGTTTCGTCGAGCTGTCATCACTTCAGGAGGATGCAAAGTTCAAGTTAACGTTAGATAGGTGTGTGACCCAGACTGTCAACAACAACAACACAAGCTGACCAGTTTTTCACCACTTCCGGTGGTCTCCAACAACGCGGATAGTGGAAAACATGGCTATAAAAACCCCACAAACTAGGCTTTATTCCACAATTATTACCATTAACCTTAGACAGGTGGTTACCTTTAGGCTAGCTAACACAGTTATCTTGACGCAAGCTAGGTTTAAAAAAAATCACAATGATTACAATTTATGTATGTAAATAACATATAAAAATCTTACCGTTCCAAAAACAAACCACTGTCATTCAATCATGGATTCAACGCGATGACTGAAAACGGATGGCCGTGTCTTTAATGCTAGCTGTTGTAGCAGGTTGTTCATGGGCCAGGTTCCTAGTGTCAGTCACCACAATGCGCATCCATGAGCAAAAAATAAGCTGATAGTCGCCAATTTGGAGGCTATTCTTTTTCGCATGTTCTCATTTCTCTTGGAACTGCCCCGCTGTGTTTGTGAATGAACAGGAAACAGAATCCCATCGCTGGAGGCAAGGACCGACAGTAGACTGCACTGCAGATTAGCCGTACGTCCAACTTCTCTTCCGGGTGCTCGGCAGCCGCTGAATCCCCGCCTCCTGATCTACGATGCCCAGCGTCCGCGCGTAATGTGACGTACGGATACGTTTCAACACACCGCCATCTTGGATGGGTCCCACTGCGGATTTATTTGTATGGAGGAAGCTGTTCGCCTAACTAAAATAATTGTAACTCCACAACTTTTTTCACACGATATAGTTTGTTTAAAACGGTACAGATGTAGTTATGGTATAGGACACTGTCACACATTAAAAATACGAGCTTCCATGCTGAAATACTTTGTTTTATTGTTGTTTGAGTTGATGTATTTATTTTTATTTTAGAATAGTTTTGTAAATTTTGTTTTCTTAGAATATATTCTGGGGATAAAAGGGGCAAACATTATACGATTTACTCTTCTGCTACCTTTCATTTTATTTTGATTTGTGTATTTTTTGTTTGTTTTCTATTATATGTAGATATTTTGTTTTTTAATGAAATGAATAATTTTTGAACTGAAATTTAATTGAAGAATTTATACGTTTACAAATACAGATGTACGACCTGGCATATTAAGAAAATTATAAATGAATTATTTAGAAATTGTCTTTATTGTCTCTCAGTGAAGAAATTCAGGTGCATCAACAGCAAAGTGACAGGCAAGGCAAATCACACAGGATGAAATGCTTTTAAAGTGTATGAAAAAAGAATTTAGTAGATTTAAAATAATTAAAAAAAACGTTTTAATAAAGAAATAGGTTGTTCCTTTGAGTTTATTTGTTTCACACAATCATGACATTTATGTATGTGCACACAGCAATAACACAAGAATTCATTCATATCTTTGTTTTAGTGTGCTGTGAGTGCACACGCACGTGCACACACACAAGATGTGTATATACATTGTGTGTGTGTTAAATCAGTGAAACGGTAAACAATCATCAAGTGTAAACAAAAATGTAATAGCAGATAGGATCTTCATATACTGTTAATGCGTGAGGGTTCACATTGGCCAGCAAAAGAGAGGGATTGGCCTAAAAAAAGGTTCCTTATTTATTTATAAAAACTCAAAAAACTGCAGTTTGGGAAAAAGAAAAGGTAACAAAACTTAACAAAGTAAAACTTATGAACTTAAACATTAACTGACATCCTGATAAGATGACACCTTACAAAGTTACTGACCCTTGTCCTTCACTTTGCTTCGTACAGAGGAGCTGAGAAGCTAAACTAGAATTGAGCGGAGCTGTGTAGGTAGGCAAGGGCCAGGCTAGTTTACAATGAATGGCAGGATAACTTCAGCTGCCTCTCCAAAGGAACTGACAACTTAAAAAAACAAGTTAAATCATTGCTAATGAAAAAAACTATTACAAAATTGTAACCATATCCAAATAATTGACCTTATTATCAAATGATGCAAAAGTTTTCAAGTAAACTACATAAGACCTACCTAAATGCTAAATTATTTATCTTAGATTAATGAAATTCACACATTTACAAAAAAAGAACAAACAAACAAACCCATAAGATACCAAAAAGATACTAAAATCATGTGTATGTGTTTACACTTAACTAGTGTATGTGTACACACACACACACCCACATACACTCACCAGCCACTTTTTAGGTACACCTGTCCAACTGCTCAACACAAATGTTGAATCACCCAATCACATGGCAGCAACTCAACACATTTAGGCATGTAGGCATGGCCAAGACGATCTGTTGCAGTTCAAACCGAGCATCAGAATGAGGAAGAAAGGTGATTTAAGTGACTTTAAACGTGGCATGGTTGTTGGTGTCAAACGGGCTGGTCTGAGTATTTCAGAAACTGCTGATCTAGTGGGATTTTCACACACAGCCATCTCTAGTCATCTCTATGGTCTGAAAAAGAGAAAATGTCTAGTGAGCTGCAGTTCTGTGGTTGCAAGGACCAAATACAAACAACATGGGAAGGTTGTTAAAGGTAAATATACTGGTAGACCAAGGGAGACACCAAAGCATCAAGACAGAAAATTAAAGCAATATGTCTCCAAAACAGAAAATGAACAACAAAACAAAAGAGTAACGAATGGGAGGAAACTGGAGTCAATGTCTGTGACTGAACTGAAACCGCCTAAAGGAAATGGGCTTTACATACAGAAAAGCTAAACGAAAGCCATCATTGATACCTAAACAGAAAAAAAAACAAGATTATAATGGGCCAAGGAAAAGCAATCATGGACTGTGGATGACTGCATGAAAGTCATATTCAGTGATGAATCACGAATCTGCATTGGGCAAGATGATGATGCTGGAACTTTTGTTTGCTGCCGTTCCAATGATATTTATAAAGATGACTGCCTGAAGAGAACACAGTCATTGATGATATGGGGCTGCATGTCAGGTAAAGGCAATGGGGAGATGACTGTCATTACATCTTCAATAAATGCACAAGTTTACGTTGATATTTTGGACACTTTTCTTATCCCATCAATTGAAATGATGTTTGGGGATGATGAAATCATTTTTCAATGATGATAATGCATCCTGCCGTAGAGCAAAATCTGTGAAAACATTCCTTGAAAAAAGACATAAGGTCAATGTTATGGCCTGCAAATAGTCCAGATCTCAATCCTATTGAAAATCTTTGGTGGAAGTTGAAGAAAATGGTCCATGAACCTGCAAAGCTGATCTGGCAACAGCAATCAGAGAAAGTTGGAGCCAGATTGATGAAGAGTGCTGTTTGTCACTCATCAAGTCCATGCTTCAGAGACAGCAAGCTGTTACAAAAGCCAGAGGTGGTACAACATACTAGTGATGTGTTGGAGTGTTCTTTTATTTCTTTGGTTTTCCTGATTTCCATAATTTTTTCCTCAAAATTGAGTGATTCCAAGATGGCCACAAGAGCTAATTTTAAACCTCTATTAGTTAGACATTTTAAGACATATTTGGCTTGAATTTGGTGGGGTGGTAGATGAGAACAATGCCTATCAATACTGAATCCAGCTAAACATCCAGGACCATAACTCAGCTATTTTATACACATTGAGTTGAAATTTGGCGTGGTGGTAGCTAAGAACTATCCTCATCATGTACTAAATCCAAACTTWAAAAAAAATCATGATGGCTGCCATAGCTAAAAGTAAGAATTGACCATAACTCTGCCATTTTTAGCCCTATTGAGGTGACATTTGGTCTGGTGGTCGATGACAGTGCTCACAATAAATATAGTAAAGTCAAATCAAAGAAATGGATGCCATGTGGTAAGTCCTTTTATAGTTACTCCGAGATCTATTCTAGCTCCAAAATAAATAGAAAACACAATGAAACTGCGAAACTACAGTATTTTTATTTCAAAGTCCAGCTTTAGTAAGGTGTTAGCAGCTATGATTGACACAGTGTTGTGACAGTAAACTATGATGACAGTGCAATYATTGTGCTGAATCTGTATGAGCAGAAAATGTGTTTTTTTAACAAGACCAACTACTTGCTTATGAGTGGCATGTTTACATGGAGAAGCTGTGAGAAGTAGAAGATTTATTATGTAGGAATGAGAAAGGAGACAGAGTAAGACAGAGGGAAGGATGAACGCTGCAGATTTGGAGACTTAGCACTTTCACAGGTGAGCACCACAGGGGGCTGGGGAGGAAGAAGTTTATGCATACATGTAAACTGGTGTGTATGTGTATGTGCACAGGCGGCTGCCAAACTGGCCACCTGTCTTCCCCTCGTTGTAGTTTTAGTGTTTCTTTTCATCCGGCTCTCGACAGTACAGCTCCCACTTGGAGAAGTTAGCCTCCTGCCGTGTGTGTGTGTGTGTGTGTGTGTGTGTGTGTGTGTGTGTGTGTGTGTGTGTGTGTGTGTGTGTGTGTGTGTGTGTGNGTGTGTGTGTGTGTGTGTGTGTGGTTTAAGACCCAGATGGATAAGAAAGACATATGTTTCTAAAGGTGCATTTCACTCTTTCCCCCCAATCTTTTTTAAATCTTTGTTCTTGATATTTTATTGAGACTGTTCAAGTAGAGGCAGGAAGTTGGCCCACAAACCCATAGGGCTGAGGAGGACACCAGAGTAAACTTCTGGTCCAAAGTCAACAGGAGGTCATGCTTCAGGAAAAGCACTGCTACTTATTCATCTTTAATTAATAGACCTTATTCAGCTGGGTGCCATCAAAGCACAAAAACACGGGTGAGTTGCAGAAAGAACAGGATGTGCTCCTGTATTTTTCACTGATTTTCATCTTATRACAGTTGAGAAACGACTTGTTTGTGTTTTGAGAGAAGATCCAAAACCCTGTCTGGCTTTCTGTTTCTCAGTAATTTGCTTATTTGTAAAACTGTGGTACCTGGTTTGCAAATTCCAGGCTTTATTTTCATTTACTGACTCAGCAGTTCATGAGTCTAAATAKTGAGGGACAGATATACTCTGAAGCCAAGCGGTTATTAAAGATGAATGTCTTAGCTGTTTCATATAGTGACCCATAAAGTGCTACTTTCACCAATATTTTACACACATATTTATTTAACAATAGCTCAGACTATTCTATGTGATGGAAAATAAACCTTAGAGGAAACCCAGAAACCTCCTTGGCTCAACCTGTAAACCAACAGGAAATCTGAAGAGGCAGAATGTGATCTTTGGAGGTTTTTTTTTTCTTTAAAGTCAGGAACAAAACCCACTTGGCCACATTTCATGTGCTGCAGGGAAAAGAAAGAAACTTACTATTTATTGCAAATCCACATTTTATACAAGCGACAGTGTAATTATGTCAAGAAGAACAAAAATTAGAACACACTCATAAGTAAAGAAATGGGGCATTTAAAAAAACTAGAGCAAAGATAAGTGATGTGTTTGAAAAGTGAGAGTAAAGCAAACTGCTCATTGCCTCTGATCCACTGATGTCAGACATGACTCACTGTACATAAACTACACACTATTTTGTAAATTACTTAAATTACCCACAGTCACATACGTATATGCTGGTGGCACACTTGAAGCTGAGGCATTTCAAAAATTGTGTTTGTTTAATAACATAATTATTGTGAACACAGAGGC